TGAGGATTTATTAAATGCGTACCCTTGTCCAAGATTTATTCATATCAAATGACAGACCTTATGACAGTTATCATTAGCCCTTTGGTTAACTTTGGGCTTCATAGAGGGGATGAACACACAAAGTTGAGAGGGAGAACAAAAGAGACGAACACAAAGATAGAGAAAAAGGTAGGGTGAGTATTGTAAAAGTGGTGGGATATGACATAAAGTCTGGTCATGTTAGCTTGAGCTCAACGGTAAGTTTATAGATTTCTTGCCGTATGAGTATTCGTTGCCCAGGATGTACCACGTGGAGGCAAGTCTATCGCACCCCCACCCCTAATCCCATCTAACCTAAGATTGTTTCACTTATATGATCGGTCTTTCTAATTGGGCTACTAAAAACTAAATGCCTGCATAGTTGAATAATTAATTAAGAGATAAATCTGTAGGTAAACCAACATAATCCGCTTCATGTTATTGACAGTACGTTTCTTTCCGCACAGTTCTTGACTTTACCTTCCCATTTGCTGAAGCTCACCTCTGTTTATGCAAGTATCAGCCGAATATGGCCCAGATTTATGACAGCAAACCCGCATTTCACACCCTCTGAATACACCTATCTTCAATTAACGCATTCAGTAAGCAAATCCGAAAACTTGACTGTGATGGTTAATATTTATTTTATCTACTAACGCAATGATGTCACATAGCTTTCAAAGGCGTAAAAGGCTAGGAATTTCACATCGCTTTGTACTAATGACAATTTACTGTCTACAAAATAATTATAGACTACAGATTAACGAGAGCGTCTAGACGATTTTGAATCTTCAATAAATATTTTGGAAGTATATGCAATTAGCCCCCTTCAATCCTATGAAAATCAATTTGAATAATCCGTTTCTTACAAATTCTTTTGGTATCAAAACTAAATAGAATTAGGCTGTGTTTTGAAAAAAAGCTTGATCTTGTGGAAAAGTAGCCACATTTGCATCAAGGAGGATGTTGAGAATAAAGTCAGAAAGCCAGTCATTTCACTTATTGATTAATTCCTCTCTTTGTGTTCCACAATTCTAATTTCATAATTTTCCTTTTGGATTAGGGAAGAAAGTCTAGTCCGTGATGTCCATTATTTAGTCCCTACCTGGTTGATAAAAATTATTAATGTTCCATCATTAGTCTATTCTTCCTCTACCAAAAGAGCACGACGTTATGATTTTAGGAGTTTGTTTTAAGGAGCAGGCGGAGGAATATTTGACGCGTAAATTTAGCCATCACAGGTTTGATACCTGTTGGTTCATCTCCAGCAAAGAGTATGGTTAAGCACACTGATTAAATCTGGGCAATGGCGGAGTGTCGAAGTCAAGTTTCTCATTGGAGAAATTTTTAGGCGCCTTAGCTCTGCCATGTGGTGTTTGGGAATAGAAAACTTTTTCATGAGACCTCTAGGCTGATTCACATGTTTGATAAGTATTGCAGAGTATAGCACTCTTAAAAATAAATTTCTAATAAGTTCTTAAGGACAAAATAACTACGTTAGCTACTCAAGGTAAATAATTCATTATTCCAAGACCAAAGCCGTTAAATTTTCACTCATTTCTCCCGAAGGAATATATCATAAGCGAAAATACATCTGCTTACCATTTTAAGTTCGTTTGCTCACACTGTTAACGATCTTTTTGATCAAACAGAGTTAATAACGTGCAGAGAGCCTTTACCAAATATAAATATATATATATATATATATATATATAGTGGTGTGCGATAGACTAACCTCCACGTGGTGCACCCTGGGCAATGTATACTCATACGGCAAAAAATGTCTATTAATCGGCAGATGACTTTTCACTTCCAACTACCCTGTCTATTAATCGGCAGATGACTTTTCACTTCCAACTACTATGACCTCTCTGTATGTCAAATTCGACCACTTCAACGGTGCTCATCTTACCTTTTCTCTGCCTTTGTGTCCATTTATTTCTTTACATCTGTGAATCACTCTTCTTTCCTCCCTCTTGTTTTTTTTTTTCATTTTGTTGTTCCTTCCCCTCTGTGAAGACTGAAGTCAACTAAAGGGCTAATGATAACTATCAAAACGCCTACTATTTGATATAAATAAATAAATAGGAATAAGCAAAAATAGATCTTACATTGTATACTTCTCCACAGGTAAAACTCCTTCCCTCGGTTCACCGAATTTTTCAAGAACGTACTTCCTTAGAATGCCGATTCCCTGTTCCTTGTGAAGTCGATGTGACATCATTGCTCCGCGAATATCCCAATCATCTGAGTGTGATTTCTTTCCATCCAATGATCGCAGCCATGCTAGAGGCCCTGGAAGCGACATTATTCCATACTCCGAAGTGAATCTTGTCACTGGGTAAGTACATTCATCCCAGAGATCGCCAATATAGGTGTAGAAGTGAACATCACCGGCGAGTGGATCCTTGAAAAGAATTAAGACTTTTAAAAATTTTCAAAATGCTCATTAATCACTAGGTTAAAATCGATTATTTCGTGCCAATTATACAGCTTTTAACAAACGAGTCTGTCAAATTAGTTGATAGAAATGCATGAAACGCATGAACACTGAACGAACTTCCCACCAAAGGAACTCTGCTATACAACTTTCTGTCCAAGTTGAGTATTATAAGATGATTTCCACTGAGGACTTGTAAATTGCTATTTTTGAGTTAACTTTTCGATTTCGGTTCTGCAGTAAATTTGATCCCACACTTTCAAGAATGTTGTTTTGAAAAGAAACAAAAAATGTTTATGTTATAACGTGGCATGATTCATGTATTTACGTTTGAAGCCTTGTCCCAATTCTTTCTCATTATAATTATTTGATTGATTCTCCATTTAAAATCCTTGCCCATATTTGGCTCATCAAATGTGGTTTTAGCTCATCTAATTATCTACTCAGTTTAATAAAAGTCTTCATTCACACGTGGGGATTCATTCAAATACGATTCTTTTTAAACTCGTAATTCTTTTTTTGCATAAAGTAGTTACATTTTTATCTACGGAGTAATCTTTTGATAAAATACCACGAGCTAAATAATACCTGTGGATTTGGATCGATGCCATAAGGGTCCGTTGAAGCATCCCCATTACCTGGAGATGACAAAAGCACTCTTCGCGGAATATATCCGATACTCCGGTTTGATGGCATCTCATTTTCCCGCGCTATTTTTGCAACTGAGTCCTTGAAACGTCTTCGATATTCCACTTTGTCTGTCCCTGGTCCATACCAGCTCTGAGCAGCTGCGACTTCAACCTCATTGTTTGTTGCCCAAATAATAATGGCTGGATGATGATGCAAGCGTCTCACTTGCTGACGAATTTCTGTTTCTACGCTGTCCGGTCTAGGGATATTGTTAATGGGAAATTAACACGTCGAAATGCGACTAGAAGAGGCCGTGTTAGCTTGAATTTATCGTATACTGTGAAGATTAATTTCGACCAAGAATGTTTTCATAAAATTTAGGGGAAATCTGGTGTTTTCCAGAATATCTTGAACTTGAGAGTACTATTGCATGGGATGGCATATTTACCGTCCAAGTTAGACAGGTGCCTTGACTTCTTCACCACTAACAACTGTCTCGTGTTGGAATATCTACT